AGGCAACTAAGAGGTTGGCACGGTCAAGCTCACGTGAAATCTGCAATCTACTTGCTGAGTCTAGAGTTAACACAGAGAAAGAATAAAACTATATAAAAGAAGACACAAAGTGTTTATTTCATTGAAGTTCAGGGAAATCAAACAATTTATATGAGTTGGTAAATCAATAAAGTTATGGTAAAAGAGGGAGTTCTTGGAGTTTGTCCTTGGATTGGAGAAGCCTCATCAGAAAGACGTGAAGTTGACAGTGGGAATGGAGTTGGGGCATGGAAATCAGAAGATCAACTCCATCATAAACAGTGACAAAATTCAAACTAATCAGTTATATATATATATATATATATATATATACATGACATATATATTAAAGTAAAATTACGGCAAAGTTTTATGCCAGTTTTTACAGAAACATGTGGCAAAAAGAGAAAACCACAGAAAAACAAACCATATGGCACTTAACATCTCCTGAAAGGCTTTGGGGCTTTTAGGAAAATGGTTGAACACCAGTGATCTAATCCAATGATTTCATTATAATCATGAAGAAACTGAGGCCCAGAGATGTTCATTGATTTCTCTAAGGTCATGTGGTAGCTTTAATGGCCAAGACAGGACTGCAACAGGATCTTTCTATTACATCATTACATTTCCTGAATTTAATTTTAGCATGAATATCTTCCCTTGACAAACATCACCAAATAGCAATTTGTATCAACAAATAACAAGATCCTATTATTCTCATCCTGGTCTTACTGTGTCCAGCTCTAGCTGAGTTGCTAGTAAATAATGAAAATTTGTTCAAGATTTGGATGGGCCATTGTAAAGAAGCGTGCTTAGATGTGTATCAACAAACTCAGGGGGAAAATTGGATAAGAAAAGGTCAGTGTTTACACAACTGAGTATAGCTTTCACTGTTGACTGGACATCTGTTAAATCTAGAGCTTTGTATCCCAGAAAAATATTCAATTATCAAAAGGGCATTCACTCACCAGCTACACATTGTTAAGATTTTCTAATATTTAGAAGTCATAAAGGTTACCATACTTAAAAAGATATTATTGAATGTTACTGTTCCTTCACAGAAACTGATCCTCTTACTATTTATTCAAGTATTCATTCAGTTGAACTTGCGGAGGAGAACTGTACTGCAAATATTTAAATGGCTTTTGTTAGACACAGAGTGTATCAGCCCCCAATAGGCTGGGGACCTCCACTGGCACTGTCTGAAAACAAATATTCAGAATAAAGAGCCCAATTTTACATCCAGGACACCAGCCTCAAGCAGTTCTATTATCAACAAGTCTCTCTAAGTGCTCGTTGTTTAGTGAATTCAAGACATGGAAAAGTCCCATTTTAAACAACTACAAGTAAAGTATTAAGAAACTGGTGAGGGGAGGGCAGGGGCAAACCTTAAGTCTGAAGCATTAGGAACAGCCCAATTTTCCTTCCTGACCTCAGGCACATGGTTGACTTTGGAGTGGACAATGACCTGCTGATGTTTAGAGCGTCAAGTGCTACCTGGTTTCATGTCACTGAACACTTAACAAAGCACAGGAACAGAAAGGCTAATGTATTGGGGGAAAGGCACATATCCAATTACATTCTGAAATCTCCATCTTTCTCAAGCAAATGTAAATATTTAGATGCATCTGAATCATTCATTTTGAAAACCCAACAGAGCCTTTCCTGTGCAAGTGGGACACATTAGGGCAACAATAACTCCTGCTTTGTTCAACTGATCTTTAAGATTGAGCTGACCAAACTGCTCTTGCAGAAACCCCACTTGCTTCCTTTCACCTAGAGAATTAAAATGTCCCTCTTGGTTACAGTGCCAGAGAACCACAGCAGAAGGGCTGGAGGAATCCTTGTAGAGGTGAAGAGCTGCAAAGTCGGATTGAAGTCTGATGATCATTTTCATATTGAACTAATCATCTGCCAATGACCAACTTCACCTGTAACTGTGGCTCATCATCATCACATTGCCACCAGCCCATTTAGCCTTCATGTGGTTACACATGTAGAATTAAAGGGCTCAGGTTTTCTTCAATTGTATTGACACATTCACTTGTTCACTCATTTAATTTCTTTTTTTTTTTAAATATTTTATTATTTTTATTTATTTATTTATTCACGAGAGAGAGAGAGAGGCAGAGTGAGAAGCAGGCTCCCAAGGAGCAGGGAGCCCGATGCGGGACTCGATCCCAGGACCCTGAGATCATGACCTGAGCCGAAGGCAGATGCTTAACCATCTGAGCCACCCAGGCGCCCCACTCATTTAATTTCTTACTCCCTCTTCCTTCCCTCATTTATCCACCCAACAAACTTGTATGACTAAAACAGGCAGGCATGATGGTAACTGTTGGAGATGTGAAAGAAAACATATTTTACACAACAAGGTAGTACGTGTGCTTACCATACGTGGAAACAGAGACAGTGGTGCAGGCTGAAATTTTGCCTGGGAGAGTTGAGAAGACTCCCCTGGATCACTGACTTTGAGAAGTGGTGGCAAGAAAGAAAGGAATTAACCAGGAGGAAAAGGCATTCTAAGTAGGGGGAATGGTAAGTGTAAAGGAAAATTAGCACAGGTCTTGCTACGCTCAAGGAAGAGTGGAAAATTTCAATATGCCTGGGAAGTAGAACGCACAGGCAAGATTGAAAGGGAAGAGATAAAAAGTAACCAGGAAGTTGGAGGAGACAGACCAGTAATGTAAGTCACTGTCCAAATTGCTTCTCTACCTAGAGGTTCTTCAGCCCAATGTAAAATGGCTTCACCCCCCACCACTCCTCTGAAACTATGTTTGCCAAGGTCACCGATGACTTTCTTATGACTGAATACATGTGTAATTTTCAGGTCTCATTTTTCTTATTATCTAGGCCAGTAATGTACCAAAGGCTGGGCAGTGAGAATAGAGACCATCTTGGGTATAGGCAATAAGGGGAAACAGTAAAAATTTAAAAGTGTGTCATTTTTTATTATCATCACAATGCACCAGCAATTCCAAACAACGTAAACAATAAAATACTCCTTGCCAGAATTCTTTTGTTGATCTAAGTTCTATGCAATTGTCAGTTGCTGCTTCGTTTTAATAATATATTACTATACATGTATATTATAATATGGTATATTGTATGTATAAATGTGTATATGTGCAAAATTAAAATAAGCATGCTTTTATTAATTATCCTTTAACAAATATCATATTCAGGAGTCTGCAGCAGTTACACAGCTCACCTCAGACACATACGGACTCAGCTACATATATTTATTTCAAGGGTAAATTCATAATGATTCAGAATCATTCAGGCTTGCTTTGGGCATGGTTTTTGTCTCTAGCCATACGGTCTACATATTCCCAGGTTTAATCAGTAGCTTCAAAATAAGCCATGACAACACAGGGATTGTAAAGACAAAGAAACAGAAATTGAGTTATTTTAATTCTGTCATTTTATGTTACCACATGTTAAGAGTTTTTATTTGTATTTAAAATTGGGGACTACTTGGCTGGCTCACTTGGTAGAACATGTAACTCTGGATCTCAGTGTTGTGAGTTCCAGACTCACACTGGATGTAGAGATTACTTAAAAAAAAAAAAAAAAAAAACTTTAAATAAATAAATAAATTGAAAACAGTGTGTGAATTTTGAGGTGTTACTTGCTTTGTAAATACAAATTTTAATCCATATATGAAATAGTTTACTGAGGTTTTTTTTTTTTTTTAACTTTCTTTCTTTCTTTCTTTCTTTCTTTCTTTCTTTCTTTCTTTCTTTCTTTCTTTCTTTCTTTCTTTCTTCCTTCCTTCCTTCCTTCCTTCCTTCCTTCCTTCTTCCCTCCCTCCCTCCCTCCTTCCTTCCCTCCCTCCCTCCCTCCCTCCCTCCCTCCCTCCCTTCCTTCCTTCCTTTCTTTCTTTCTTAAGGCTCCCTAAGGAGCAGGATGTCTGATGTGGGGCTCCATCCCAGGATCCTGGGATCATGACCTGAGCCGAAGGCAGGTGCTTAAGTGACTGAGTCACCCAGGGGCCACTATTTATTTATTTATTTATTCATTTATTTTTAATTTTAACTTTGTTTTTATTTCTGAGTTTGAATAGTACCTTTAAAATTAAAATGTATTCTTTTAAAATTGTGCTCATTTTAAACTTATCAAGAAAATAAAGATGATTATGATCTTACATGATGATGACTACAAATAATTTTGCCATATGAAACAGGGACTCTGCCCTGGTATTAAGTACACTGGATACTGATCAAGGCAACAGTCAGCATTTGTGACCACAGCATCCTTCTTCAAAAACTCTTCTTTTTGGCCTCCATGATATATACTCCCCCCAGTTTTTCTCTGACCTAGTAGTTTCTTCTGCAGGATTCTCTTCCTCTCATCCCATGAAACATCGTATTTCTCATGTTCTGTCCCAGGTGTTCATCTCTTCTTAACCTATAAGATTCCCTGAGCGTCCTCTTTGGCTCCAGTAGCTTCGTTATCCACTGTATGCTGACAACTCCCAAATCCATACCTTTGGCCTGAGTCTCCTGAAATAGCTCGCTTATCCAACTCTCTGCTGAACATCTTTCCTTGAACGTAACTTAGACGTCTCCAATCCATTCGTCTGAAACTGAGCCCATTAGCTTCACCTGCTGCTTGGTGAAGTCTGGAAAACTAGGAGTTATCCTTGATTTAGCCTTCTCCTGTTGCACCTCATGCCTACACAATCACCAAGGTTGACAAATTTATCTCTCCTAAGTATCTCTTGGATCATCCACTTCTCTGCGTCCTCACCACCACGACCACTGCCTAGGCTGCCATCACCTCGCCCTGAAATAGCTCTGGTAGCCATCTTGTACATGGTAGATACAGAGCTATTTCTTAAGGGTAAATTGGATCACATCCCTAACTTGTCTTTATTTACAAGATCCCTTTGAGGGGATCTCACTGTCCCTTCGGAGCTTCATCTTCCAGCCACCGTGATCCTACTTAAGTATTTTAATATATTTCAAGTTATCTCCTACCTCCAAGCCACTGCTCATGATGTTTCCATCCTTGAAGTTCCAAGGAAAATATTATTTCCTCTGCAAAGCCTTATGACCAGTCAAATTGGAATTAGATGCTTTCCTTCTGCACTGTATCAGGGAACCCAGTGGTGACTGCAGTTTGTCTCTCCTGTTAGTTTTGAAAATAATTAGACTTTAAATTCCTTAAGAGCAGACACAAAATCAGTCTTATTCTTCATTGTGTTTCTAGGAGCTTCCCCAATGATGTTATAGAGTGGGCACTAATAAATGTTTTTGTTAAATGAATAAATATATGTATGAACCATTTTTCTCCTAACGAGAATTTCTTTATACTCTGGATCATGGCTGCTTTGTCTATGGCTTTACAGTATCTGTAGTTCCATTTTGACTTATTTCATTCCTAGAAAACTTTTCCTATGCTTTATTATTTATAATCACATTAATGATTTATTTCAGAATATATTATAGTATAAAAAATGATACATGCTAAATGAATGCTGGCAGGTTTTTTTTTTTTTTCACCCTCAGGGAGGAAATGTGGATGATAAATACATTGAAAATCCACCATGTGGGCATAGAATGCAAGGCTTCTGGCCAACTTTAGAATTGTCCTTTCACTTTTAAATCCATGTACCAACAGAGATGATCATATTAAGTCTCTCTTGGTTGTGGGTTTCAAGGGAGAATGTTGTAGAGACAATCTTTTCTGATTTCAAATGAAGAGATACACAAAAACTACTGAAGTCAAGGCACTTCATCAAGAAAAAGGTGATGCTTTCATCACTGTAGAGGCCCAACTAAAGTCTAATGCCAAGGAAGAGGAAGAGAGGGGCCTCGTCCTATTCCCCAGCCAGCACAACTTTCCCTTCACGTTTATATCAACAGCAGTGGCTGTCTCCTGGTCTGCTGTTTACATAAAGATGAGAGGCAACTGGATACGCTGGCTCCATGCTGGTCCAAGGCAGAGCTGGAAGCAGCAGGTAACAGGCACCTGGACGGGTCTCCCCACGGGCCATCAGGGGTTCTAATCAGCTTCTCTTAGCTGGCAGATTTTGAACAGTGGGTATGTTCCAAATGTGTCAGGGCATATTTTTCAAACATCACTGCAGATTCATTTGTTACGTCTTGCCTTTTTTTAGACCTTGACAAAAAAGGGACATTTTTAACCAAGGAAGGGAAAGCGAAGCTAGTGCACATTGATGTTTTATGACATGCTAGGATCCACAGTGAGATTAACCTATTTTTTTGAGATCTTCGGGGCCCTATTATCTGTGACTCCTTGTTATTTTCCTCCCCACGACTGCAATTATATCTCCAGATGGGGAGGATTCAAACTACACTTTCATGTTTATGTGCTCTGAATTCTGACATATTTCAAAGTGTGTACCTCAAGGTGGACTTTGAGAAAACACAGGGTTCTGTACTCTGCTCCAGGTGTGTGTGTGTGTGTGTGTGTGTGTCCTACTTAGAATATATATACCTCAAGCACAAGAACCTTATCTTTGCTTTATTACTCTCCACAGGGCAGTAAATACTTGATATTTAAATTTTTGCACACACATGAGAAAGACAGAGATCTCTAATGTAGTTTGTGCATGTTTACTGGAGCCTGCGTCTACCCTGGGAAGATATTTGCGGAACATTAAAATGGATTCCTTTGTCTTTCATTCATTTCCTACGCAGTAGCCCAGGATATCTAAATTTCCTAGGGCTGCTATGACAGATCACCACAAACTTGGGGACTTCAAACAACAGTAACTGATTCTCTCATTGCTCTGGAGACCGGAAGTTCGAAATCAGTTTCACTGGGCGAAAGTTAAATTAGCAGGGCCATCCTCCCTTCAGAGGCTCTAGGGAAGAATCTGTCTCTCCCTTCCTCCGGCTCCTGGTGGCTGCTCACATGCCTTGGTTTGTGCCAGCAGCATGCCTGTTTCTGACTCTATGGTCACATTGCCTTCTGTTCTTCTGCCTCTGTCAAATGTCCCCTCTGCTTCTCACCTATAAGAACTCTTGCGATTGTATTTCATACCTGCCTGGATCATCTGCGATAATCTTCTCATTTCCAAATCCTAAACTTCATCCCAAGAAGTTTCTGTAAGGAAGAGGAGAAGTTTCTGGGGATGGACTGGTAAAGGAGTACCCAGTTCCAGGAGCTGTTCATAAATAAAGGATTTTCATAAGGTAGGTGCTGGTAAGTCAGAAATTGTCAGCAAATCCTGAAAACAAACAAACAAAATAGGTATCTACTTAAGAACTCAAGAGCAATTACATAAATTTGCAGTGACCTAAGCCAAAACTTTTTTGAGATGAAATTTGCTTCAAGATGTGTTTAGGTTCAAATGGAATATCCCATTTTGGAAAGAGAAGAGAAGATTTAATTATACAAACTGAAAAATAAAATATTTTTTAAAATTTTAAAAAGGAGCACCTGCATGGCCCAGTCAGTTGAATGTCTGACTTTTGATCTCAGCTCAGGTCTGGACCTCAGGGTTGTGAGTTCAAGCCCCTCATTGGGCTCCACACTGGGCATGGAGCCTACTTAAAAAAAATAAGTAAATAAAATAAAAAAAATCATATACACTGAAATAATAAGATCAATCAATGTCTATGAATAGACAGTTATGTGATACCACAAGTGAACATCTCTCTGTTGTTACACTGAGCCTAGGTGAAAAGAACTCATCCTCGGGCACCTGGGTGGCTCAATTGGTTAAGCAACTGCCTTCGGCTCAGGTCATGATCCTGGAGTCCCGGGATCGAGTCCCGCATTGGGCTCCCTGCTCAGCAGGGAGTCTGCTTCTCCCTCTCCCGCTCTCCCCTCTTGTGCTCTCTCTCTCAAATAAATAAATAAAATCTTCAAAAAAAAAAAAAGAACTCATCCTCATTCATGTTGAGTCCTATGTCTGCAGTGCCGAATCTATCAGTCATGCTCAGACTCCTGCTGTCTTCCTTACAGTAAGCCTTTAGAAGCTTGTGTTACAACAAGAACACTTCCCCTTGAAGTAATAAATATTGTTTGAGCCCTTAAGGCTAATTAATTTTAGCTTCTAGCCTATTGCCTATAGCCTGCGGAGGGAAGGTAAACATTAAAATATAATCAAATTAAATTTAGTGATCAAAAGATTATTGTTCTATGCTCACACAAATTGAAAAATAAAAGTTGATATTGCTGAATGCTCATCAATATTTCTGATTCTTCTTCTAGGTACAGGATGCAACTATATTTCCTATACCCCTGAAGTTAAGCTGACTGAAGCTTTGTTTCATGTAATGTGAAGTGTTAGGTCTTTTAAAAGGCAGTGCTCAGTTCACCATGTTCTTTAGCTCTGCCATGGCAACCATTGACCTTTCCGGATAGTGAAGGCTCCACCACCCTGGGTCCCACAGTAAGCATCATCACAAACAAAGCCCTGTGCCAACTCAAGTCAGGCATGTAGCAAGAATATGAAATAAATTTTGTAGTTTTCAGTCACTGAGAGTTTAGGTTGTGTGATACTGCAATATAATTCAGCCTATCCAGTTGATACATCCAATGAAACTGACGGGCTTGGAATTGATGGTTAAGTACTTTTGGTGCACAGGAATGGTGGGAAATTTGAATTACTGAAAGATAAGCTCTATCTCTGAAAACACATACCAAAAACAAAAGAAAGAGAACTTAAGTGCACCCAAAAACCTGTGCATTGATGTTTATTGCAGCTTTATTCATAATTGTTAAAACTTTGGAAACACCCAAGATGCCCTTCAATAGGTGACTGGATAAACAAATGGTGTTACATACATACGACAGAATATTATTCAGTGATAAAAAGAAATGAGCTATCAAGCTGCAAAAAAGACATAAAGGAAACTGAAATGCATATCGCTAAGTGAAAGAAGCCAATCCATAAAGGCTATATACTGTATGATTCCAATTTTACGACATTCTGGAAAAGGCAAAACCATGGAGACAGTGAAGCGATTATTGGTTGCCAGGGGCTGGGGAGAGGAGAGGATGGAAGCAAAGGTAGACGAGAGGGGCAAAGGAGGATAGGGAATGTTTAAGGCACTGAAACTGGTCTGTATGTTACTATTAGAGTGGGTACATGTCATTATACATTTGTCAAAACCCATAGAAGGTATAATAGAGTGAACGCCCATGAAAACTATGAAATGTAATTAATAATATATCAGTATTAGTTCATCAGTTGTAAAAATGTACTGTACTAATGCAAGGTATCAATAATAAGGGAAACTGAGTGAGGGAGTGTGGTATGTTGGTATGGGGGAATGTTTGTACTTTCTGATCTATTCTGTAAACCTGAAACTGCTTAGAAGATTAAGCAAGGGGAAAAAAGAAAAATTAAGAATAATTTTACTGAGTTAAATTCCAAAGAGCCATTTAAATTATTATAAGTTGAATTTGTAAGTGTTGGCAGGTTGTTGCGTTGAGGTTGGTCTGGTGAATTTAACTGTGGAACATTTGATGGGCAAGAAAAGTTATGAATTTGAATATTGTCCTGGCAGGATATGAAAAAAAAAATGAAATGAAATTCTTGGAGAAAAGAGAATAGATTTAGGTAAATTATGGATAATGAGAATAAAGAAAAAGAGTCTTTCAAAACAGTATGTGCCAGAAATGTGCCATCTTATGGACAGAAATAAAGCTGTAGCACAATGTTGCTTAAGCAGGTGACTCTGAAGGAATGTTGCTTTGAATAATTTGGTGATTAGAAATAGGATGGGGCGCCTGGGTGGCTCAGTTGGTTAAGCGACTGCCTTCGGCTCAGGTCATGATCCTGGAGTCCCGGGATCGAGTCCCGCATCGGGCTCCCTGCTTGGTGGGGAGTCTGCTTCTCCCTCTGACCCTCCCCCCTCTCATGTGCTCTCTCTCTATCTCATTCTCTGTCAAATAAATAAATAAAATCTTAAAAAAAAAAAAAAAGAAATAGGATAAGTAGGAAGGATCCACTTTGAAAATGGAAGCACAAGGCTCTCTACAGATCCACTCTTCAGCAAAACAACATAAACTGATAATTTTTTTTTTTTGGAAAAATACCCTGAAAATTTTCCTAAAGGCAGTGAGCAAATGAAGAAGACATTTGTGCAAGAAAATCTCTGTTAAATCTTGATAAGAACAGTAAGAGTCTATGGCATTTGAGCCATGACCTGAGCCTTTTCCTCTGCTACAGCTTAGTGTGATGCAAACCCCCCTCAAGTTCGGTGTGGCTGAGAAGATGAGGATCCTCTCCCCAGCTCCTCGTTTAAAGTGTATCTCTTGGAAGGCCCAGGTCACCAGCATTTCTCATCTCCTGCAATTCTCTGTGTTAGTTACAGAAGTGGAATTTCAGGCAAGTGTCAAAAGTCCAGCACCAGTCCTTGACTCTACACAATCCTTCCTCTACACAGCTTCCACTCTAAGGGAAGATAGTCTACCCTCACTGCGGCAGGCCAGCAATGGTTGGCATTGGTTGCCCTAACCCTAGCTCGCTCATAGGGTAGGAGTTTCCCACCAGAAATGTTGACCCGAGAACACTAGACGCTATCATCTCCACCCAGTACCCTGCTTCCAAAGCAGGACTGTTAACGGAGAGAAGCAGGCCACTATCTCTGCCCCAGTAATGGAACAATGGCTCAGAAATTCCGCCCAGGGTAAGAGGCAAGCCCTAAGCACAGAGAGTTCTGAATGTCTCCCTTCCTTTAGAACAGAGTTGAAAAAGTTCAAGCCTAATGAGTTCTTGAAAACAATGAGGACCTTGGCGGTAGGCAATTGATGGGAGGCTGGTAGCTCCATGAGAACAAGAAGCTAAGCCATTGGCCAGCTATTTACCATAGAGAACCAGGGAAAGAGACGGCTAGGAAGAGCCCTCCTGGGAACAGAACCAATCTCAAAGACTGGCCTCAAAAACTACTCTTGCAAAAGGACCCAAATTTAATTAGATCAGACAATGGAGCTATTGATGCCCCAGGGCATTGTCAAAAACAATAGAGCAAGGATCAGGCAATTAGTGGAGCCTAACAGCTGGGTGTGACACCAAAAGAAGCAGACAGTTTAACAGATCAGGGAAAGAGACAAAGAGAGCCCTACTCAAGCCATCATCCTAGGGTGCCGGTGTTGAAAGAAATTAAACACTGCAATATATGCAAACACACCCCATGTTCCTGGACGGGATGAATTAATCTTGTTAGGATAACAGTTCTCCCAAAACTAATCTACAAATTCAATACAATCCAAATTCCACCAATCATTTTTGCAGAAATTGACAGTCTTATTCTAAAATTCGGGTATAGGGGCGCCTGGGTGGCTCAGTCGTTAAGCGTCTGCCTTTGGCTCAGGTCATGATCCCAGGGTCCTGGGATCGAGCCCCGTATTGGGCTCCCCGCTCCGCGGGAAGCCTGCTTCTCCCTCTCCCCCTGCTTGTGTTCCCTCTCTCCCCTGCTTGTGTTCCCTCTCTCGCTATGTCTCCGTCTGTCAAATAAATAAATAAAATCTTTAAAAAAAAAAATTAAAAAAAAATAAAATTCGGGTATATAAATTTACAAAACCAACAATAGCCAAAACGATCTTGAAAAAGAAGAACAGATTTGGGGAACTCATACTTCCTGGTTTCAAAAATGACTACAAAGCTATAGTAATCAAGATGGTGTGTTACTGCAGAGGAAAATCATATAAATCCACGGAACAGAACTACAGTCAATTAACTTTATACTGTAACAATGCGCATATGTGGCAATCTCCAAACCAAATTTTAGTTGGTTGTCCATTTTCTTTTTGAAGAGTGACTACTACAACAAAGATCATAGCACAATCATAATAGCTAAAAATGAAAACAACCCAAATGTCCATTAACTGATAGATAAATAAAATGTGGCATACATAAAATGGGAAATTATTCAGCAATAAAAAATATTGACGTGCTGATACATGCAACAACATGGATAAACCTTGAAAACATTAAGCTAAGTGAAAGAAGCCGTTCACAAAAGATTGTATATGATTCCATTTATATGAAATGTCCAGGATATATAAAATCTACAGAGACAGAAACTAGATTTAGTAGTTATCTAACACAATGGGAAGAAATAGAGTTTCTTTTGGGGGTGAGGAAAATGTGTCTAGAGATTGTAGTGACTATGAATATACTCAAAATCATTAAATTATATACTTCAAATCGGTCAATTATACAGTATTTGATTATACAGTATGTATTATATTTTAGAAAGAGAGAGAGAGGGAGAGAGAGATTGAGAGAGCAATTTGATAAATATAAATAGGATGTTCTGGCCTATATTCCTGCTTGAGTGAGTTCACTTGGCGATCAGAAGCAGCGTCTAAGTACTATATGATCCCATTCACTTACTGCCATCAGTGTCATCATTATTGTAGAAAGTTGCACTTTGACTAGTGCAAGACCCTTGGCTTCTTGGAACCTTCCTCAGATTACTATCAGTTACAATTTGGAGCAAAAGAAAGTCCTGGAGTATAACTTTAGTCTGATCACCTCATCTTTAAGACTCTTTTGCTAATCCTTGAGGCCATTTGGACATATAACAAGCATGATTTCAACTAAGACCTTATTTCTTCTCTTGGGGCTGGGAATAGGAAATGCAGTTTTTCTGAATAAAATGCAGTAATTAAAAATTAAAATGTTTATTACATTAATTTTATATCAGAATAAAAGGAAATTACATCTGTCTGTCCAGTTCCACATGAGATGAATTTCTGCTTTCATATCTATTTAACACACTTTTATTCAGCACCTAACAAATCACTGAACGTATGTATTACTTTTCTAATACTCTTAAAATGTGGCGATTTGGTCTTATAGCTAAGTTGCCACCATCAAAGCCCTCTGCTGAATGCATATTCATTTTAGCGGACTAGTTCGTAAGTGGCGCCGGCTTCTTGCATTTCCACAGCACAGGGACCCAGACTTCCTTGAGAATCTGAAATAGCTTAATGCTAATTCAGCTCCTACCCTGGTAAGGGTCTTATCATCAAGGAGTTAGTCGTACCACACTCCTCAAGACAGCACGTTCTGCCCGGGTTTGATTTTGGATAGTTCGGACAAATGTAGCCCTCTGGAACATAAACATATTCACGACTGGCAGGAGAGGCCATGAATTCTTGCCTCAGGCCTATCTCAGCACAGCGGTGTTTGGAAGGGCTGACAGCTTCTTTGCTAAAAGGCAAAACTTCTAAGATGCTCACTGCTATTTGTAGGAAGATGTGGTACAACAGGTAATTAGACTTTTCCTGGCAAAACCCCCAGTTTTCATTCTGCTTTCAAGAACCAGCTCCTCAAATCAGGAATTTCCTGGCAGGTCGCATTTCTGTGGATTAGGGAAGGCAGAAGGGAGAATGCATGGTTGGAACACAGAGATCACGAGCTCTAGGGCTACAGGTGGCTGAGGAGGCTGGCCATTGCTTCAGAGAAATGGATGTGTCCCTGCCACATGAATTACTTTGTTCATGTCCCGGACTGGTGAGGGGAGGCAGCCTTTCATTTTTCTTGTGTGTGTATGGCAAAAAATGTATTCGTGTATTTCATTCGTTTTCTGACTAGGCATACATTTATTGAATGAACTGCTTTGTATCAGGATTTGGACTTGCTACCGTAAGATTTAGAAGACACATTTCTTGCCTTCGGAAGGAATACAAGGTATGTTGGTAACTACCCTAATGACCGCAACAAGGGAGGTCCTCACAAAGCCTTATGGGATTACAGAGGGCTGAACAGGCTCTGCCTAGAGGAATCGCAGAAGAAGGGCTTCTTTGAGGAGGTAATCTTCGTTAAGTTTAAGACAAGTTTAAGTTTACAAAGCTGGGAATGGGGACAAGAGGGCAAAGGAAGGAGGTATTTTAGGCAATGTTATATGATTGAAGCACTGATGCCAAGAAGGCAGATGTGCTCCGTAAACAGTGAATTCTTCTTGGGAAGGTATGAACATTGGAATGTTCTGTGATGATGGGCAGAAAGGTGTTAGATGGTGGGAGAATGAGCTAAAAATGGGAAAATGAAGGCAGGGCCAGAAGTCAGAAGGCACCCCACCAGATGTAACAAGGCTGGCTGGCACACCCAGTGGGGTGTTGACAGTCTTACAAGGATTTGCAGCTTGCTTATAAAAAGATTAGCTATAATGGCTGCCACAGAAATCCTTTTAGTCTTTAGAGAAAGCTGTGGTTTTCTAAGAAAACCATCTAACTGTTGTATCCCTAAGTTATTTCATATTAATTAGCTAAGGGAAAATAAAATCTTAGCGTATTCACACTTCGGCTCTCCTCTGTGGTCCTGTTGGTGGTTTTTGAAAAAAAGAGGATACGACATCCACATGGGTTACGCCACTTCCTTTTGCAGAAGTGATCTCACAGGGGAATGCTGTATCCGCAAAAATGAGTAAAACAGACTGTCCAAAATGGTCATAAATTTTTCTCAAAGTTTAGAGCATCTACCAATGAAACTTGGTAAAAGCCAAACTGGAAAACAGAATTTGTCTAGGTATTTGTGTCACTGAAAAGGCTGCAAGACTGCTTGGCATGGTTCAAAAATCCTCTTGCTCTGATGCAGAAATACACTATTTTATTTTTTTTAAAAAGATTTTATTTATTTGACAGAAAGAGAGAGAGAGCACAAGTAGGCAGAGCGGCAGAAAGAGGGAGAGGGAGAGGGAGAAGCAGGCTCCCCCTGAGCAGGGATCCTGACGTGGGGCTCAATCCCAGGACCCTGGGATCATGACCCGAGCCGAAGGCAGACGCCTAACTGACTGAGCCACCCAGACGCCCCAGAAGTACACTATTTTAAAGCTCAGGTTTATAGATTTACTCTTAGACACTCGGAGGAGCTCTTAAGTACAGCAACGCTTCCTCAGGACTGACATTTATGAGATTTGGATTTTATTTCCAATTATTCTGCTAAAACTAAAGAGTACATTAATTCTGGTTTTTTAGAGTGGGAGTCTTTAACTTACCGATAAAGACGGCATCCTTAAAAGGCTGTAAATATTACTGTACCAACCACTGAGAGAAATGTAGTTCATGCTAAATGCCAATAGATCCCTCCACCAACCCTTACAAGGTGCATGTTAGATGCTCCCCTAAGCTTCATGGAAAAAACAAAAAGTGACTTGCTTAATAACATTTAAAACCTACTTAAAAAAAAAAATATAACCAAATAGATCATGGTTTAGTGGTATCAGTGGTAGAAAAAAATTCTGATTATTATTTAAGTCATTGGCCCTATGTTGTAGTCAAGAATTACTGACTAGTTCTCTTCTTAAAAATCCCTTGGGGCACCTGGCTGGCTCAGCTGGAAGAGCATGCAGACTCTTGATCTTGGGGTTGTGGAGTTCAAGCCCCACGCTGGATGTAGAGATTAAGTAAACAAACTAAAAAAAAAAAAAAAACAAAAACAAAACCAAACTCTTACTAGGCAATTACTCAGTACACTTATTATGCATTTTCACAATATAAATCAATAAACAAAACATGGCCGTGCTTCTGATTCTAATGATGGTGTCTATACATTATAGCAAAGTGTAACTTCAATATTTTAATGATGTAGAATAGCTGAATGTGTTTCTGCTACTCGGTTATTTTTAGACAACGCTTATAAACTTGTTTGGAGAGTAGCTGCAACATTTTCATTATTGTAGCAGACCTATTTTAGTGCCAGAAAACAGACACTCATTTTGGGAAAATGGCTTCCTCCTAAATTATCATTAATAAGATTTATGCAAAATAAAAGTTCCCAGGCCATCAGTTCACAAGAATTGGTTTTTTCCTTAATAAACTTGTCTCCATTACTTACTATATATTTTGCTTATCATTGTCATCTACTCATTACCTATATACATACAGTATATATTTACATATGGATGTGTGTGCACACATTATATACATTTAGTTTTGGAAGATGACTGAAGACCTTTATTTATTTATTATTTATTTAAATATTTATGTATTTTGAGAGAGAGAGAGAAAGATATCAAGTGGGCAGGGGGAGGGGCAAAGGGTGAGGAAGAGAATCTGGAGCAGAGTCCCGGCTGAGCACAGAGCCCCACACGGGGCTCGATCCCATGACCCTGAGGATTAGGACCTGAGCCAAAATCAAGAATTGGACACTTAACAGACTGAACCACCCAGGCGCCCTGACCTTTTTTAAATTTAAAATGAACATAACACTCACTGAAAATTGGATAAAAAACCTAATAAAATCTTATCTTAAAACAAATGTTTATCAAATCTTTATTTTTGAACACTGTACAAATTCTTTCCCACTTTGAAAATCTACAGTGATCATTCAGTTACACACCAAATAACAGAATCGAGGCGAGGTAGGCTGACTGTCTCTTTGAGCTATGCTTCAATTGCCCTGCCTCTAGATACATTAACTCATGGGCCACCTTCTTCTTCTTCGTTGTTCTTTTTTTTCCTTTTTTTTTCTGAGAAGGGTAAAGCATCCTTGAAGACTTGCTATTTTCATGAACAGAGAGTTTTATATTTATGGAAAACCTAAAAACCAGAGAAAGCCCCCAAAATAACAGTCATTTGAAACCAAAGACAATGCATTTTTTTCTCATTTATTCAAATTCACTGCAGGAAGTAAACACTAAAAGATTAAAAAACAAAAAAAAATTCACACTGCAGTATGTACAGTTTCATGACATCACATGAAGAAATGAAATCTCTAATAAAAACGACAAATTATATTACTAAGCAGATCGCATCAAAATTGGTTGTGTAAACCCCAGAATTCATATCATGAATGGTAATGTGCCTGTATTCCAGTATACTGGGATACGCCTGGTATAATAGTACATTTCCAATGGGATTAAAAAATTCATGAAAGTAGTTGTGTGAACTCGTTATGTTGAAAAGTGGTTGACTTGATTTTAAAAAGTTTTAAGACCCTTGGATTCAAAGCACATTCTTTCACAAAGCTTAAACCACAGAAGTCATATCCAGAAATGGAATACTGTCATGTTGGGATGAACATCTGATCTGACTTGTTAAGACATTTTGCCAAATGCACAGATGCACAGGGTCCCCCATGCACTTTTCATGCAGCAGGTAATCACAACTTAAATAAAAGGTTTATTCTATACATTTGTCCAGACTTGCAACTGTATACATACATGCACAATTTTTAAACCTGTCTGATTATATTTACACTTATACATGGAATATACAGAAACCAAAGAGATTAAAAGGCTTTTCTGTTGCATTAGAACAATACAAAATATGTATTTTTCATTAAGGAAATCACTATTTACATCACCTTTAAAAACTGATTTTAACATCTTCATGTAACAAGTCAATATATATATATATACATATTATATATATATATATATATATATATATAAAATATATACTCTCACCAGTTTACTCTTCTGTAACATGTACCAGAGAATAAACAGGTAATGCTACCTTACTGATGTCAATGAGAGCTGCAGTACCCTTTCACAAATGACTTCTTTAGGAAGAAATTGTCTAGATATCTAAAATAGTCCTTGAAAATGTGTATATGTGCATCCTCATATCTACATATGCATAAACAAAGTGAATTTATGGATGTATGCCCTTTCTCACTGGTTTTTCTTTAAAATCACCCTAAAATCAAATTGGGGACATTCTCTAGTAAATCAGAACGTCATTCTTCTGGTCATGTTTATCTACGTATTATATATCCTCATTCCTTTAATTGTGAACGATGACAACAACAAAAACAACCAACCAACTGAAGAAACAAACAAAAATATAGTGATGCCGGCCCTTGATGTTCTTTTCCCTGACCTAAATTTCACTCCCTTGTGAAAGCCCATTTTCCCCTGACCAAAGGGGAATACCAACAATTTTTTTAGCATATCTCTAAGGCTCCAGACCTTTCATAATGGCAGGGAAAAAAATGACTTGCTTAAAAGCTTATTTATATAGTGTAGACAAGAAGATTGTCACAGAATCAACATGGGATGAAGTAGAATATATTCACTGGCCAGTGGGATTTTTACTTCAGAATAAGCGTATACCTTCATCTCTCCATGATATAGCATAATATTCACTCCTGACTATTGTTTTATAATATATCCAGTAACTATTTACAAATCATTTCGAGAAAAAAATAATCATTTAGGGTTTTAGATCGTATTAGGAAATAACGCCCATTTTTAATATAAAAATCTTAGAAACGTCTTCAAGTAGAACAACTTCAAATAGATTTCCTTCTAATTAATAGTTGATTATATAACAATTTTTTGATAGGTCAGTTGCAAACCTGGCTCACTTTTAAAAAGAAAAATATTATCTGGTCAATGAACTGTGGACTGTGAAAGCTGAACTTAAACGTATGGACTTGTTTCAAGATCAAAACCTCATGTGGCTCAATAATATGTTCTTCCAAGATAACATCAATGTTTACTTCTAATTACAATTTTAAAATAATAGGTCCAATGGAGTGACCGTGTACAACTCTGTCATGTATATGTGCCCTTTGTATTTTTCTGTTTAGTCAATCTGAGTTTAGTGCCTTTCTTGGGTTTGAAATAAATGTTTTCATCTTTGTCAGCAATGTTCTTAGGACAATGATTTTAATGGAAACTAAGGATGTATTCAGGAGAAATTTCCAAACCATCCTGGAATCACCTGAGTTTGGTAAGTGGCCCTGTTATTCCATCCCTAAGGCTAATTAAGTAGATGTTACTCATTAGAACACATAAATAATCACAGATTTTCCTGAGATGTTGAGCCAGATATGAAAGTTGTCCCCTCCACCCAATTTTTTTTTTGTCATAAAAAGTATTCTGAACCCGATTTTCCAAAGACATAACGGTTATATACGAACTATAATATTGCAAATTTTGAGTTGATGTATAACTGTACTGGGGAAAATATAGGCATCAAGTAGTTTTTTTTACAATCCTGTGTTCTGAGAAAAGTCATAAGCAATGGTTCTCAAACTTCAGCGTGCAGAAGAAACATCTAGGGAGTGTGTTTAGATGCAGATGGAAGATTCTCAGGTCCACTTAGCAGAGATTCTTGATCTGTAGATCTGAGATGCTGCCTAGGAATCTGCATTCTAAAACAAGGGCTCCAGATGATTCTAATGCAGGTGGTCTGAGTCCAGCTTTTAAGAAACCCTGGTCATAAGACTCACAGGTACCACAGAAATGGTGAGAAGTAACTTTTACAAGAGATGGTGAAAATTGTCCAAAGAAAAGCCATTTTGCTTCTGTTAAAAACAACTTCTTAAATATTCAACTGTTCAGGAAACCACCTGAAGGTAAATGGTTAACTTTCCTAATTCTGTAAAAGGAGGAATATTTAGTAAAGTAGCTAAAATACAAAAATGGAAATCTGCCTTTTTTTAAGGATCTATCAAACTTCCATCAATTGTAATCAATTTTTACTAAGTAGTACAAGGTTTAAAGAAATATATATTGAAAAGGACTGGGGTGGGGGAGACACGTTGGGAACCACAAAACCCCTTCCAAGAGTTAAAAATAAATATGTTTTTTAGCAAAAGTGAAAAATGTAAGCATATATTTTTTCTAATTTATTTTTGAATCAGATAATGAGAAGTGAATTAGTTTTTTTTTTTAATCCAATAATTAACATTTAAAGAGTTATTTAACAATTTGGATTTAAAAACAAATGTGTTATGTAGGCTGACTTCTGAAAAGCAAAATAAAGTACCCTAATAAAGGCAAAATGCGTTAATCCACTATGGATGGAGATTTACATTTTCATTTATGCCTATTATCTGATTATATAAAAGAATTTCATTCATAGGCTACTCACAGTTGTTGTCTGATGCATACAGAGTGTTAAACAACCAATTGCTAGTTCGGTAGTCTCCTCATGACATCTAACGTAAAGCAAAAAGTAGTATGCATATTTAAACATCACCAGTAACCAAGACTTTTCAAAGTGAAAAAAGTTTCAATTTTATCATGCTTTGCTCAAATCATGCTCTTATTTATACAGATCTCAAGTTCATACTAAGTAGTTTTAAAAAGATCCAAAGCTGTATGGCAGGTACATTTTATTCTGATTCCTTTTTTATTGTTAGCACGTTTCCCAGAAGTCCATAAACTTCTCCATTTGCACTGTGTGGGCGAGAGACGTTACTTCCCATATGGCTATTATAAGGGCTTCTTAGATTAAAGAAAGAAGCTTTAGTTTCTGCAGCAGGAAGTAACTCTTCTTTGATTGTAACCTGTGAGACACTTTCAGCAGATGAGGGCTCCCTCCAAATGTCCTTGTCCTGTGTTTCTCGACTGGTAACAGCATTGCCTCCTTTCTGAAGCATGTAATACAGTATTGGGTTAGTTTTGGTCAGCCTTGGACAGTCTTTTTCATACTCATTCTTATCCGCATCTGTGATAACCCACTTAATGGGTCCTTTCTCACTGGTCACGGAACACCCATTCAAAAGCCCAGATTCTGGTCTAGACCCTGCACAGCCCAAGTGCTCAGAAAAAGGAGGACTCATGGGATCTTTTACCACTCCTGGGTATGGAAATGTCCTGTTCTCCATGCAACCGCTGGGCTGAGTGGAACTGTACATCAGTCCATTTAGAGAAGAAATGCTGAATTCAGGTTTGCTATTGGTCACATTATTTTTGTGTCCTTTCTTTTTACTCTCGACGACGGAGTTACTCCTGTGCTGGGACAAATCTCTTACACAGTTTTCTGAGAGAAGCAGCTGCTTCAGAACATTGAAGCTTTTGCTCTCTCTGGCCCAACTCCTATGTTCACTTTCGCTGGCTGAAGCATGACTGGCAGGGTATTTAAATTCAAGATCATTTTTGCTAAATTTCAGCTCTTGCTGGTTAAGCAAGGACCCATACAGTCCTTCCGGAGCACTGTGACTGTTTGCAGCATCAACTATGTTATTTTTCATCTTTTTAAAAGGGCTTTCTAAAGGCTCAGTATAAAGCTTCCTTTTCTTAGGGACCATGCAAAGGTTCTTTGATTCTAGAACTGTCAGTTCACTGTTTCTGTGACTGTTGTCCAGATCATCCACCAGGTAAGTCTCTTGATTTTGTCTGAGCAGTCGACTCAACAGACCATTCTTTGAGAAAGAAAAATCCTGAGGTGAAACGGGCTCCGATTTGAAGTCCTCGGACACTGGTAAGGCAGCTGCGCTTCTCTGCACCGGAGGTGCCAGACCTAAGAATGGGGCACCCTTGGCATCATGGCTCAAGTGCACATTCGAATTGTGAATATGTAAGTCATCGCAAGGCTCAGATTTTATTTTTACCATCAGTATTTGTTCACTTAAAGCTCTATCTGTATGTTCCTGAGTACTTTCATCTCTTAAAGAAATCTTCTCTTTCTTTTCACTCTTCCCTTTGTTGGGGTTTCCCAGGAGCAGTTGGAGGACAGTGCGCCTTTCAAGCAGATTTTCTATTTCAGAACCAGAAAGTCCTGATTCGGGACCCGTTGCTTGACTGCTAAATGCCTTGTTTTCCTCCACTGCGTTTGCTTTATTTGTGAGCAGAGGACTATTTAATCTATCAACCATGCCTACAGGTCTATCTGTGTTGACACTTAGCAGCTGTTTGCTAGGTCTCTGCTCTTCTCCTGACGGGGATGACTGCATTCCACACTGAGCTAAATTCTGTAACAGTTTACTGGCACTGAAAGTTGCAGGGTTTTGGGCGCCTTCGTTCTGGACTGGTTTCTCTCCTTGCGATTCCTTGCTCTTTGTAAGGTCCATCAAGTGGTTAGATGCAGTATTTGCGGGCTTTTCAGCCTGAGAGCCACAGGCATATGGTGGGGACTTCCATCTGATGACCACAGAGTGTTGGGAAAGATTGATGGGGGACTCTGCTTTTGTGGATCCAAGGAATGGAGGAGTGCTCACTGGGGTAGTCCTGTTTGTACTGGGGCTTTCTATTACAGAAGTCCTCGTGTAATTCTGGGTACTGAACTTGGTCACATCGCTGTGTACTTCCTGAGGACTGTTTCTTTCTACGTTTTCTTCATTCTTATGGCCAAGTAGCAATTGAAGAAGTGTTACTTTCTGGTGTGAATTTAGCTTAGAATTCCTTGAGGTATCCTGATCTTCTTTGATGTCTACAGTGGTGGGGACTTTGGGATCCCAGGTGTTTAGCAAGGACTGAGTTAAATTATCGAGAGAAACAGGCTGGTCAGGTTCTGGTTTCTCGATTCGATGTTTGCAAGACAAGTCTATGGGAACACAGTTGGAATAAGAACTTTCATCGCCACTGCTATCATCTGTAAAACTAGGATTGTTATCTGAGTACTCATCGATAGTTGTGGGTGTACTACTATCCTCAAAAATGCTTCCTCTCTCACTATGATTATGTCCATTCATTGGCTTTGGTATGGTCTGGCTTTTAAGAAGATGTAAAAGCAAACTATTATTAGCAGCTTGTTTGATACTGTTTCTTTCTAGTGAGTTCTTACAGCTTGCATTTTTGGGGGAAGAAGGAACGACACCCATTGGATTCTGAAAGGTGGTATTTTTGCTTGCCATTAGTTTGCTTGACGGTGTTCTTGCTTGACCATTGAGATGGCTTGACATTCCTTTCGAGAGCTGGAAACTGCCAACATCCTTTTGGCCATTTTCTTGTAATCTGGCCATGGCAGCAAGTCTTTCGCTTGCTGCTTGATTTGCATTTTGTGTTTTTAAAGCATGTTCTCGAGAATACTGCTGCAAATGGGCTTCACTTGAAAGGAGTAATGCTAACTGGCTACAAGCGACACTAGGTTTGGGTGAAGTGGCCGGACTAGCCCTTTTTTCCACCATGCTTGCAACGGCCTGTAATCTGGCAGCGCACGACAAGGGTTCACTCATGACCTTTGTTCCACTTTGTCCAACATGATGTGGTGACTCTACGAACCTGTCTCTGATGAGGTTTTTAGTTAGGTCAGGAAGACTGGTATCAGGCTTTTGATCTTGAGCTTTGCTTTTCTTCAACAGCGTTTTTAAGTGACTTGATGCAACGCCGTAGCACCTTAAATCTTTCTCCACTTTTAAAGAATCATGACTGAGTGTGTATCCTTGCTCCTTGAGGCTCTGCCTAATTTGCTGCGACAGAGCAACGGTCTGCAGCCTAGAGCTGAATGACTGAAGCAAAGAGGCCAGCAATGTGCTGTCTTGTTTGCCTTTAGGCACATTGTCAACCATGCCAGCTAGCAAAGCTTCCTTCTTCACATTTAAATTTACGATGGAATCAGACAGCCTCTTCCGCTTCGCGGCATTCCAGTCTTCAGAAGACTGCAAGAGTCGGGCTTTTTTGAGATGCAGCATGCCAGATCCCTGATATGAATGTGTATTGAGAACTGGACCATTACTTTGACAGGTGGGAAATGCATTTCCAGAAATGTTAAAGTTCTGATCTTCTTCATTATGCCCAGCAGACTTTTTGTCAATGGCAGTACCTGATCCCTCTGCTGCCTGATGCATTAGTAATCCTTCTAGGTAAGTTAAAACAATAGAATCCTGGTGCACATCAGAGCCAAGCTCTTCTCCATGAGTCATGTTCAATAGAAGTGTTCACAAGGGCTTGGTTTCTATTCACGTTAAAGAATGGTTTTCTGTGGGTGAGTGAGATGTAACTTTAATAAGTGAGTGTCAGTTTATCACCTTCCATAGTAATCAGATGGAGATGTCCTGTTACATTCCAACCAGGATTTCTCTGGCAATGACAAGATGAAAGACAGGCAAATTCCAAAGTAGTATGACCACAGAGCTGATCAACTCCTACACAAGAAGAAGCAAAAGAATTCCTTAATACATAGGTCTGCAGCAGCAAGCAGATAGACTCCTTAGCGAATATACTGCTTCTCCTTCTTCATCTTTTGTTTCCAATTAAATGCAAATAGCAGTGTTCTAAAAAAATAAAAAAAATAAAAAGTTAAGAAGGGACAGAACTAGTATTATGCTATGATACCAATAAGCTAAAGAATCTAGTATTTCTGTTTCTATGTAGGTGTATGTGTATATATATATATACACATATGTAAAACATAATGTACATACATATATATGCATTATAGATACTTCTTTAGTAACATATTTTGCCATTCCTATTAAACTGGAAATTGCTACTGGAAATCCTATAAATTAATCCATATTGCAAATCAATTAGAGAAAATACTTTGGCGTTATGTAACTGTCTTCCAAAGCACACCAAGTTTCTGAATTTTCATGAGCACTTTACGCAGAGTAATATGAATGCTAAGTCTCTTTTATAATGATGTAGCTCTATAAGGGAGCTAGAATTAGCTTTCTTATATTAATGGAAGCTTATGAAGGAACAAAAACAGATGTGCAGGAAAAAAAAAGAGATGCATATAACATGGACTCATCTGATGAGCTGTGTGTAGGGTTGAGTACTACAGAGCAGATTCACTTCTGATAGCATCCTTGAAATATCACACATTCCATAAGTAATTTGTAGGATTTCTGTTTTCAAAGAAATGGAAGACTGACAAATATCTTGTAGGTCTATGCAAAGTGTGACAGTCTTAGTCATATTCATAAACACTGAAGTATAAAACTTCATTTCTACCATGACAGAAGACAGTGATTCTCTAGATGCTGATCAAGTCTATCAGAGGTTTAATGTATCCATTTTTAAATCTTCACTCATTTGCTCTATGTAGAAATTTTAATGTGAGGTCCATTCCTAACAGATGAAGAAGACAGGTTATGGGTAAACCTGTAACTTTAAGTTTCTAGGATGTTCCTCATAGAAAATACTCTTTTCCCCACCCATGCTATTTCTTTTTGTGTGACTTCGCTATCAGTATAAAGTATAAATAAATTAAACTATTATATGTGACTTGAAAAAATTTTATGATTTTAAAAGAAAAATCATTAATTTAGAAAAATGTGTTAAGGTACTTGTACCAATTTTTGGTTTAGAAAATGTGGTTACCATAAATGTACAAATATAACTATGTGTATACAACAGGCAATCACATCACCCTGTAGAAAAGTGGGCAGGAAACAAATTTAGAATTGACCTGACAGGAAGATGAATAATTGCTTCCAGAAAATTCTAAGTCCATGTGGTTATTTTTCATTAATTTTTTTGAAAAAAATTGTATAAACAGCACCATTATGACTCAGGGAGGAGAGACCTTCTTTTCATAGGAAACCTGTTGTTTTTAAATAAGATGAATCTGTAAATCAAAGGCTGTATTTCCTGAGATGCTGCTTCAGGAGGCACTCAGTGGCAATACCTACCATCGTGCTAGCAGAAAATGAAATGCTGAAAAAAGTAGGAATTCTGAGACTACTTAAGGCTTGAAGTCACTCAGATCCTACTAGTAAAAGCTCTTCAGGGAACTGAGTGAGCCAAATTTCTTCAGATAACTTCCTTCTCTTTCCTTTAAATAACTGAAGCAGGAGAAATCATTAACAATCCCTTCCTACCTTTCCCAAACCTTGCCTTTCACATTTCTAGAATAAAGAACAGAACTTAATTGAGAAATTTAGAAAAAAAAACAAAAGGAGACAAGGTGATTGAATACAGTACAGCTCACTGAGACTACAGATATTAGGGTATAATGTAAAATATTACCATCACCAAAATGTCTAGACTTCTTAAAGTTAAAATTATTTAGAGTTAGTATTATTAGCCTGACTCATTTTCTTTCAGCAAAAAGACAACCACATTATTTTTGAATCACCGACATACAGTTTGCTTCCTTTTTCATTTTATCTACATATTACTTAAGAATGTTGCCAGATGCTTAACACTACTTGAGTATATTTGGTAAAAAAATATCTAAATGTCAACGTACTATTAAGAATTAGGCCTCTTGAGAGATTGGCAAGCAGTATATTTTAAAACTGGAATACTTTACAAAATACTGTGATTTAATGCCTTATCAGTGGATCTACTTGCACGTTCAAAACTTCGACAATGATTTTATTAGAGCCTGTGTCTATTTAAAGATACTCAACGGGCTCCTCATAAACGCAATAAGGAAGAGACTTTACTTATATGGCATACACTTGCTAAGTGATTTTGCAAAGGGAACAAAATTATCCACAACATTTGGTTTACGGGGGGTAAAAGAAAACAAAGAGAGTAAAAGTAAGGAGGGGGCAGGAAAAAAAAAGGTAGAAAAAAAATTACAAATGAACAAATGAAACAAGTTTTGTAACTCTCATGAGATTTTTTTTTTTTTTAAAGATTTATTTATTTATTTATTTGACAGAGAGAGACACAGCGAGAGAGGGAACACAAGCAGGGGGAGTGGGAGAGAGAGAAGCAGGCTTCCCGCCGAAGCAGGGAGCCCAATGTGGGGCTCGATCCCAGGACCCTGGGACCATGACCCGAGCCGAGGGCAGACGCCTAACGACTGAGCCACCCAGGTGCCCCACTCTCATGAGATTTTATAAGAAAAATTTTAGTTCAGAAACTAAAATAGGTTATATTAATATCCTATCTTTAAACATTAGGTTGGTAGATACGACAGGCAAAGCCAAGAAAGATTTAACGAACCCTAAAAATACATATATATGAAGGAAAAAAAAATAAAACCTGATTGAACAATATTTGTTTCAACTCAGTTGTCATTTTTATAAGGTGGTTCCATAAAATTTTTAGAAAAACTGATTTTAACAAAAAGTTTAGTGTAACCTTTAATAATATATCAAGAGGTGATTTAATCTTGATTTTAGATTTATCATTCTAAATCAAAATCAGCTCTGTAATTTTAATGGATTTGTTTTAACTCTCAGTATACCAAGAAAAACAGGCATCACCATTACCATCTGGGTCCAACAAACATTTTAATATTTAAGTCAATTTATGAATAATTAACAAAGGAAGAATGAAGGGGTAACATAAAACAACATCAGAATTTTAAGTTAAGAATTTACACAATTTACATCAAGCCCATTCTTAATTCCTTATCTTCCTGGTTTTGAAAGATAATGGGCAACTGACAGCTCAATCAACTGTCATGCAAGAACCTGGAAACATCCTTTAAGTACCAATTCCAGACTGGTACATGTCTAAGAGGTAAGCTTTATCATCACCTCTGGGTCTTCTTTTTGTACTTGTATAATTCAAAATGTGTGACTTTGGAAAACTCTGACAGCTCATAATTATGCTGAAGAGAGGAAGAAAATCTTCCTTGTTCCATAATTGCAAAATATATATTTTTTATTTTTAGATTTACTAACACCAATTATAATGATCAATCCAATGGATTATTTCATATCCATGTCTGTTTTCTTCCAATCTCTTTTATTACACACCAGCCTTCAATATTTGCCCTTATGAACCATTCCAAATAAATTTGGATGTGCCAACATCATAAAAGAAAGAATACTGTCATATTTCCTTTGAGCAAAACAGGAGGGCTGAGCTTCTTGTCACAAAATAGTGAGTGATGAAGCCCTTCTTATTGAGCAACTGACTAGATGAAAGAAATACTGTATTTCCTTTTTGTCTTTAGAACTATATTGTTATGGGAACAATGTGAGGTGATGAGTGTATTAACTAACTTTATTATAGTAATCATTTTCCTATATATGTGCATTATCAAATCATCACACTGTAGACCTTAAACTCACAATGTTACTTGTCATTTACACCTCAATAAACCTGGAAAAAAATAAAAGAACTATAATGTTGAACTATATTGTTCACTCATTGATTCCTGAGTTTGAAAAAATTAGTTTAGGATGTTATCATCTGAAGACAACAGTCAGAGATGTTGCTTTATAAAGTCAATGTCACCATCATCATTCATGTCTAGAGTACTACCATCATTCTCTTGCAGTCATCCTCTGATTCATCTAATTGAAGCATCTTCCTATGCCAACTTTCTTTTCTTTGATGTTGCAGATGGAAAATGAGAAATACCGAATTCTCTATTGCGTTTACTAAAAACTTAAAACAGACTAGGAAGACTACAAAGACAGTGTCTCCAGACTTTTTAAACCTTCATGAAAGATGATATAGAATTAATGGGCTATGCAATAAGGAAATTGAAGATTATACAATGATGACTTATTTCACTACTGCATCACCCTTCTAGGCACTTCCATTATTTTCTCTTTGCTTATTCTTTTTAGTATTTGGCACAGTTGGAAATAAATAATGAATTAATTATCAAGATCAGAAAATGGCAAAATACTTAATGATATAGGAAAATTAAGATCACTAAGGTTCCATAATGTCTTTTTGATTTACAAAAGGTTCCATTGGGCACATACAGTAATAGCAAGATACCTGTTCTTTTCCTATTAAAAACACATGTGATTAAAACTTTTAAAACGAATAAAAGTCATGTAACATAATCCTTCCTACTAGTTAGAAATATTAAAAAAAAAAAAAAGAAAAAGGTTTCAAAAACTAACACCAGGTCCAAAGAACCCTGCCTGACAGTATACAAGGGTTAATGCATTTCATGACAATTTAATAAAATTCGTGTACAACTGTTATAATGTTAAAATTATAAACTGAATCTTTTTATTGATTTAAAATTGTTTATAAGCATGAAAATCTTTTAAATTTTATAAAATTGACATTTTACTGCTCTAGCTAGCATACAGTAAAAAAATTATTGTTAGATCTAAAAAAACAATAAAATCAAACTAAACCATTGAAGGATTCCATGGAATCTTGACCATATGCATAGATTGGGGAAGGATCCAAGTTTCAACACATAGGCTAGTTTAGTTAAATATTTAGTAAAATGTGTGAATTCAGAGTGTATTTTTTTTAAAGCTACATTTTTTTTAAGTACCTGAAAAATATGAAATTATGTTGAAGTCTAAGTTTTTTTTTTTAGAACTTTAGTCAATAAGATAGTTGTAAATAATTTGCACGTTAACAGTTCCCAAATGGATGTTATACTGAT